GGGCAGGTCAGGAGAGGTCTGCCGCGCCATGTGGATCACTTCTGGGGCAGGCGGGGATCGAACTCATGCGGAAGTGGCTTAAGCTTCTTAATGCAGTGCTTTAACCCTCTGCGCCACCAGGGAGGACCTCAATGTGATTTTTTAAGGGATATATTGTATTTGCCTACAAAGCAGAGAGGTGGATTTGAGTAGACTGGAAACGTGGGTGGAAGGTTATTTACAGAGCCCAGTGCATAAGGCCACTTGGTCAGGAAGGGACAGCAGAGAAGGTGTTCTCGCCATGCAGGGACCAAGCAGATGAGGATGCTGGGTCTGAGGGTACAGAGGACTATGAGAGCTCGCAAGACAAGAAGGTACAACACTCACTGCCTCTCAGGGTGTTTTGAAGTCCTCCCTAACATCTTAATTATCCCAGAAAAAATCTTGCTTTCAAATCTCACCTCCCCTCTTCCTGCTTGGTTAGAAATTAATGGACATAATTAAAGCTTCGTGGGTAGCCGGGTTCCTCAGGTGGTCATGCAGACAATCTCACTGCAGCCCAAAGACTTAATACTTAACTCCTCCACTTGCTGGTCAGGCAGATTCTGCCCGAGAGCCCCATCGCTTAGCTCACCCAAGCTGAAGTGATTTCCAGGAAGGAAACAGCTGGAAGAGGCCAGAAGGGCAACTGATAAAAACGCTAACGCTTATGTGGCACCCACTTTGTGCCAGACTATAATTCTCAGCCCTTTTACATCTGTTGTCTTTTAAAATCCTCTCCCCAAACCTATGGGGATATACCAGTAAGATCACATGGGAAACCGGGGTGGTATAGCAACTTGCCTGAGTCATAGGCTGATGGATGGCAGAGCCTAGTTTGGAGAGAGGGGAAAGGGACGCACTGAGAGACAGGACAGACGCAGAATGTCAATTGCTAACTCTTGCTATGTAACCAAAAGTTTTCTGGGGATGGAAAAGAGGGGAAGTGGAAAAGAGAGGGGAAAGGGACGCACTGAGAGACAGGACAGACGCAGAATGTCAATTGCTAACTCTTGCTATGTAACCAAAAGTTTTCTGGGGATGGAAAAGAGGGGAAGTGGAAAAGAGACCACCCCCAAGTAGCAGAGGGACTGACAGATTACAAATGACGGGTGGGGGAAGGGTAAGAATAAAGAACAATGGACTCTGAGGGTGGGCTGTGGGTGACTTGGTGGCAGGAGCACTCTGGTGGTGATACCTGATGGAGGGTCCTCAAGTCACCGCAATTAGAAAATATTTTACAAGGAATAAATAAAAAGCGATGAAAATTGATTTAAAAAAATAACAAGTGACCCATGAGCTCGGAGGGATGAGAGTGAACAGGGAGGGAAGAAAGGGCGAGAATGGGAGGCTAACTTAGGTTGCTCCCTGCCAAACGGACTGAGACAGGATCTCATAGGTCGGAGGGAGCCACGGTAGTCTCGTGCACAGGGGAGTGATGTGACTTCAAAGACATGTGCAGGAGATGGGCCCTAGCAGCTGGAAAAAAAAAAGCTAGAGCAGAGAAAGGCGAGCTGAAGGCAGGCCAGCTGTTACTGTAATCCAGGTGCGAGGTGACGAGGGCCAGCCGGGCCAGGACCGAGAGGCGCGGAAGGCTGTGTTTCTCCACTTGTGACCTGAGGTCCGCTCGCATCAGTTTTGTTGGGATGTTTGTTTAAGATGTAGACCGCAGACCCCAGCCTCAAACTTAATTGGGAGCTTGGGGCTCCGGATTCAATAACACACAAGCCTCCCTCGTGATGGGGGAGTGTGTGAACGTTCAAATGCCCTCCACTAAAGTCCAAAATCAGCAAGACCTGGTGACAAGTAGTCTGGGGGAGGGGGTGGTGGGAGAGCAAGGAAGCCATGAGTCAAAATTGCCATGAAAGATATTTTTGTTTTGGTGGTCTTTTCCATTGTGGTAAAAATACATATAATACAATTGACCATTGTAACCATTTGTAAGTGTACAGTCCAGTGCCGCAGAATCTATTCATGTCATGTGACCATCTTTACCATCCATCTCCAGAACTTTCTCATCTTCCCAAACAGAAACTCTAGACCCATTAAACACTACCTTGCTGCATACACCTTCCCCTAGTCTTCGATGACACAAAAGTTTTAAGTCTGGGGATCTGGGTGCCTATGGAAGCACCGAAGGAAACAGAGGAGCAGAGAGAGGCTACAGATTTTCAGAGAGAAGATGAATTCCAATTTTAATTTCTGCCTGAGCTAAGCATATGGAAATCCCCCAGAA